CAGTAGAGGTTAAGATCCCTACTTTCCAGGTGAAAGTAACCATCTTTCTTGATATAACCTGCCTCCTTGTTGTTCAGTCGCTAAGTCATGTCCAGCTCTTTGCGATCCTGTGGAATGCAGCAAGGCAGGATTTCCTAGCCTTCTTTAACTCCCAGAGTTTCCTCAAATTCATATCCACTGAATCAATAATGCTATTCAACCGTCTCATCTGCCACCTCCTTCTTCTGTCCTCAATCTTTCCCAGCATCAGGGTCTTTTCCAATGAATTGGCCCTTCGCATCAGGTGGCCGAAGTATTGGAGCTTTGGCATAAGTCCTTCCAATGAGTATTCAGGGTAGATTTCTCTAGGATTGACTGGTGTGATCTCCTTGCTGACCAAGGGACTCTCAAGAGTATTCTCCAGCACCACAGTTTGAAGGCATCAATTCTTTGGTGCTCCCCCTTCTTTATGTTCCAAATATTACATCCATACATGACTATTGAAAAAACCATAGCTTTGACTATATGGACCTTTGTTGGCAAAGTGATGTCTCTGCTTTTTAATATGTTGTCTTTGTCATAGCTTTTCTTCCAAAGGGCAAGCATCTTTGAATTTCATGGCTGCAGTCACCATCTGCAGTAATTTTGGAGGCCGCACCCCCTCCCAAAATTAAATCTGTCACTGTTTCCACTTTTCCCCTATCTATTTGCCATGAAGTGATGAGACTGGATGCCATGATCTTAGTTTTCTGAATGTTGAGTTTTAAGCCAGCTTTGTCACTATCCTCTTTCACCCCTATCAAGAGCCTTTTTAGTTCCTCTTCTATTTCTGCCATTAGAGTGATATCATCTGTATATCTCAGGTTGTTGATATCTCTCCTGGTAATCCTGATTCCAGGTTGTGATTCATCCAGCCCAGCATTTCGGATGATGTACTCTGCATAGAAATTAAATAAGCAGGGTGGCCATGTGCAGCCTTGATGTACTCCTTTCCCAATCTGCAACCAGTTCAACTGTTCCATGTACGATTCTAACTGTTGTTTCTTGACCTGCATATACTTCATTCTAGGTTCGTGGTAATTCTGTAAGTTCTGTGGTATCAAGTAGTGCCACTCTCCTCTTAAAACTGGAAGTCCACTACCTCCTTTTGCCTTAGTGGTACTTGAGCATGATATCAGAATCTGATTTTGATGCGTTTGTCTTTTAAAGACGCTTCCAATAAACTATTTGGTGAGATCATTTTTTTTTTAATGCTATTTTAACTTTCTACCTTGACTTCTCTCTCAGCTGTATACATATTGCATTGGAAATTGATGACTATCTCAGAAAACACATATTCCTTTTTCTGATGAACAGGTCTTGTGGTCTCTAAGCCAGACCTGGTCACATATCTGGAGCAAATGAAGGATCCCTGGGAGGTAAGGAGAATGGATACAGCCATACACCCAGGTATGTGTCTATGGATGAAGCAGATAACTCCGGTGAGAGGGACAAGCATTGGGGAGGAAGTCATACTTTGTCGTGTGGTTTGAGAAGATCTGCTTCAGTGGAGATGATTTTGGATTAGCCTAGGTTTATTTCTGTCACTGTCATAGAGCCTCCTCTCCTGACCCATTCCTGATTCTTTTTTTCATTTGTGTGTTTTTCTCCAGTGATTAATTTTCACATTCAGAGTTAGAACCAAAATACTTGTCTTGGCCTGGAACAACCTGCATGACCTGATAACTCGTCCATTTTGGGGAGGTTTTGGAAAATCTGCATATTTCTGAGTAACTATATTAAGCCCTTTTAAAAGTGCTGATTCTGTCCCTAGTCAGAAGTGTGTGGGTGGAGCTGTGAAAAAAACTGCCAAACTTCTAGGAATACTGGGGACAGATGTTTTTTGTTCTCTACCATATAATTTCCAGTCCAGTGGAAACTACACATGTGACCTTAGAAATATCATTCTCAAATTCTTTCTTCACTGCATTGTTATCGGCACGCCTTCCGGGAAACAAACTCACTCAGTAGGCCAATGCAGATAGTGGAGTGCAGTTTATTACACTGGCGCGCCCAAGGCAGAGTCTCCTCTTAGCCAAGGGCCCTGACGGGCATTTGTGAAAATCTTTCATACCCCATGTGTACATGTCCAAACCCACCACCCCAATCCCTGATGCTTACAAAGGAAGGGTAAATACAAGCACAATAACCCCATCATTCACGTGTTATGTCTTCAAACAGTTAATAATCAATAAGCCCATGGTTAGATTCCAACCAGTTAATAACCGATAACCTCTGCTTACATTCTGATAGATAGTGTCCGGAGGCAGGGGTGATTAGGGTCTGTTCTCTCTTAGGTGATGAGTAACCTGGATATGATCTTCAAGGTTCCCCTGTCCGGAGGGGGTCTTATCCTTCCATTGTCGTTCCCAAAGGCACTAAGCAGAGAGTTCATAGTCCATTGGAGAGGTGGCCGAGCACGATCAGCACAGACAGGCCTGAGATGGAGTCCAGGCCCTATGAATTCCTTCTTCACATAAGACACCTCACTAAAATGAGAAAATGAAAATCTGAATTTTATGTTACAACTTGTCTTTTTTTATATGATCTAACATTAAATGTGTTAAGTATGTTTGTTCCAATTCATTAATGCTAAAATGCTTTAATATATGTATTTAACTCACAGAGTTTTTAAAGAAATTATTCACGTGGGAGTTTAGAACATTTCCCACAGTGCTTTTTTCTGATTGTTCTTCACTATTAAGCTTATAGATTAGATAGAGAAATCTTTAAGAAGAAATTTTTCTGTTCCAATAATGCTATTTTACAATCTTATGTGAGGTTTGCTATAGAGAAAGGATAAGTGATACATATACACATTTCCCTTCTTGAGGAGATTTCCTTCCCGTCAGGTCACCACAGAGCATTGAGTAGAGTTCCCTGTGTTCTAACCATATTTTTCAAGTCTCATTTCTCATTTGATTTGTTAAGAACTGTTACCTTATTAAATCTATCTTGTTTGTTATGAAACATCCCAGGACTTTATCATTCATGCCATCTATTTCTGATTAGCTCTAGGTCAATAGCATTTACTATTTTACACTCTATCAGAACATGCTCAGATAACAACCTGAGTGGTAAGTGGGTTAAATAATTAGTAGGCATTAGCATTTGTGAAAACGTTTTGTTTGTAAATTTGATTACTTAAAGCAAAAATTACTCATTACGCTGCTCAACTTCTCTTCGCTTCATTGTTCCTGTAGGTTGCTATCTTGACTTCTCCTCTGCACCACACTCATTTTTCATCTCATCTCGTCCAATGTTCTCTGTTTGTGGTCTCTGTTCTGCAGGCTGCAGATCCTAGTTCCTCTTGCTCTGGTGTCTGCCCCTTGGTGGGTGAGGCGGTCCAGAGACGTGTGCCCTTCTGCCCTTGAGAGGGGGTTGATTGTTACTACTGTGATCAGAGCCTGCCCGGATCTTGAGGGCAGCTTGGCCTCTCCTCTGTAGCTCTCACTGTCTGTGGCGGGGTCTGCTTCCTGATTGGAGGAACAGAGGCCCCAGATCTGAAATGAGCTCTGCTCTGATCTGTGGTGCTTCTGATCTAGTGGGACTGAAGCACACCCACTGAGAGGGAAGCCACTGAGTGTTGCTCCTCTGGGGATGTTCTCCTTGGAGAGTGCTCTGCGTGTCATCTTTCATGTGCTGTTCGAGCTCTCGTCTGACCCTGTGTTGGCATTGAACTTGGCCCCACCTGAACCATGGGTATGCTAGCACATAACCCTGGTGTCTCTCAGATGTTGTTTTCACCAGGTCACCAGCAGAGATCCACTGTAGTCATATCCCAGGTGTACGTTCATTGTGGAGCTGGACCCACTGCAGTGCTATGGGGGCAACGTAGACGTGACTTGGCTCAAATGCCTCATGTGCGTGCCTAAAACGTCTACAGTTGCTAAAGCCGGACTGGTCTTGACTGCCAGAGCCTCATTTCCATCCAGATGTTCTGTTGGGGCTGAGTTTACCAAGCCAGTTGTGGGGTGTAACACCATGGTTTGTACAGATGCAAGGAGAGATAGCTTTTCTTGCTTAGTGGCAGGGCCTTGGGGCTCAGCTGTGGTTTCAGCACCACCTATACATTGGGACCACCCACAGGCATGTGTTCTGAATGTGCCCCTGGGGCCCATGAGTCTACTCTGGTGCGAAGGAGACTGGGGAGGAGGAAGCAGCTGTGGGGGTCATGGGATCACTCACCTAGGTGGGAGCCATTCCTACTGCCTGGAGAGGCAGGGACAGGCAGAGGGGCAGAGAGGCTGCAAGGAGGTTCTTCCCTTCGCTCATCACTGAACAACGCCGCTCTGCTCTGGTGGTTCAGGCTTCCTCCACAAGCATCCCATTTGCAGAGATCCTCCCTCCCTCCGGTCCCCTCAGGATGTCTCCTCATGGCCAACCGCAGTCCTCTGCCTGGGTCTACTCTCCGAACCCCACATTCCAGCACCCAGACCTTGTCTGCAGCAGAGGACACCCTCTCCAGCTGGGTGGGCAGGGCAGGGGTCAGTACCCTGCATACAGGTCTCACTCTGTCCTGCACGTTCTTTGCCGTGTTCTCTTCCCACAGAAAATGAGGCTCCCCTTCTGTCCCAACTGAGCTCCCGTCAATGAGGGGCCTCCCTGGATGTGTAGACCTCTCCTCTCTTCAGATCCGCCCAGGGTTTTGCGGGCCCCATTCGGCTTTTTCCTCTTCCCTTTCCTCCATCACTCTCCTGTCCTACCTGGCTCAGCAGAAATCTTTTTTGTCCTTTCAGGTGTCCAAGTTCCTTTGCCCCTGTTTGGCAGGGCTCTGTGAGAATTTTTCCACTTCAAGATGTATTCCTGATGCTTTTGTGGAGGGAGATGAACTCCACGTCTTCCGAAGCCTCTGCCATCCTGACTCCTTCTATCTCGGTTTAGGCTTAATCTAGCCAAGTGTATGCCAATTTTATGTAAATTGTAGACTATATTCCCCAACAATAGTAAGTAGAATAACTTATTTTTTTGGTATCTTTCAGCTGTGTCTTCTCACGATACCCAGGGTTTGAGGACCCAAAAGCCAGGCTTAGAAGATTTACTCCCAACAGCAAAGCTAGGAATATATGAAAGATTTCACCTTGCACATTTACATTTAACCAAAGACTGGAAATCTATGAGGGCATATAAAGAGCGGAGAGTATGTTATGATGGACACAACCAAGTTGGTTCAGTTTCCCATAAAGTAAACATTACTGCCAAAAAAAATCAAGGATGTGAATCAAATAAGGAAAAGCCAATTTCAGATGACCAATTTCAGTCATCAACATCTGCAGTTAAGTGTATATTTGTCAGCAAAGATCCACATCATCTCTTGAAATGTACATGTTCTCTGAAGGGAAATATGGAAAATTTGGAAAGTCATCTAGTCTCTCCTGCAAATACTCCTTCAAACCTACACTCTGAGCATAGCTGTCTATTAAATATACATTCAAACATGTCTGGAAACCAGAAGCTTAAACATGAGGGGGAATATTCCCAATGCAGTCAATTTGAGGGATCCTTTAACGAGGGTTTCTTGTCCTTGAACCAGCAACTATTTTCTCCTTGTTCCAAAATCTGTAATGTTGATAATAATGGGAGAGACCTTATTCAACCATCATTGTTCAATACATATGGAGGTATAATTAGTGTGGAACAACTTTCCAAGTGTAACAAAATGAGGAATGCCTTAAGCAGGAGCTCTACCCCCAATAATTACAAGAGTATACATGATGGAATGAGAAGCTCTTCATGCAATGAAACTGGGCATAATGTGGACCAAGACTCATATCTCGTGAAACAACAGGGACATCAATTTTCAGACAACATTCATAAGTGTAGGAATATATTTTATGAAAGCTCAAATCTTACTATCCATACTTATAAGTGTATGGATATTGGAGGGAAGAGTTATGATTGTTATGATTATGGTAAAGTTGTTAACCAGTCTTCAAAACTTATTCAACAGCAGATAATTCAGAGTAAGCAGAAATATTGCAAGTATAATACATGTGGAAAACTCTTTAGTAACTCACCAAATCATAGTAGACATAGGAAAGTTCATACAGGAAGGAAACAATTCAAATGTCCAGCATGTGACGAAACCTTTAATCAGAGTTCATTTTTAACTGAACATCTGGGAATCCATGCTGGGGAGAATCCATACAAATTTACAGAATGTGACAAAGTGTTTATCTGCTGTTCATGTGTTACTCAACATCAGCAAATTCATACTAGGGAGAGACCTTATAAATGTACAGCATGTGGCAAGGCTTATAAGAAAAGTTCAGCTTTAACTGAACATCAGCGAATCCATACTGGGGAGAGACCTTATAAATGTTCAGCATGTGGCAAGGCTTTTAAGCGGAGTTCAACTTTAACTGTACATCAGCGAATCCATACTGGGGAGAGACCTTATAAATGTACAGCATGTGGCAAGGCTTTTAAGTGGAGTTCAAATTTAACTGAACATCAGCGAATCCATACTGGGGAGAGACCTTATGAATGTACAGAATGTGGCAAGGCTTTTAAGCACAGTTCAACTTTAACTCAACATCAGCGAATCCATAATGGGGAAAGACCATATAAATGTACAGAATGTGGCAAAGCCTTTATCCGTTATTCTTTTCTTACTCAACATCAGCGAATCCATACTGGGGAGAGACCTTATAAATGTACAGCATGTGACAAGGCTTTTAAGCAGAGTTCAAATTTAACTAAACATCAGCGAATCCATACTGGGGAGAGGCGTTATAAATGTATAGCATGTGGCAAGGATTTTAAGCAGCGTTCAGCTTTAACTGAACATGACCGAATCCATACTGGGGAGAAAACTTATAAATGTACAGCATGTGGAGAAGCTTTTTCCCAGAGTCTTTCTCGACATCAGAGAGTTCATGCTGCAGAGAAATGTCAGAAATGTAAGGAATGTGGCGAAGGATTTCCTCACAGCCATCACCTCACTCACAGTCAAAGAATTCATACTGCAGAGAAAGCCTAGAAATGAATCACTGATAAAAAAAATTTGGTCCTAAATATACAATTTTGAAAAAATGAATGTTTTCTTTGAAAAGATACATGAATGAAATTAAAAAATGTAGAAAACTGCTTAATCAAACATCAAGAGTAACTCTTGAATTACTCTAAACAGAAACACTGTAGCATGTATTCCATAAGTAAAACACATACAAAATTGATAGTATGGATCACAAGATGAAGGGGTGGATATTTGCAGAGGTATAATTATTATTCATGTATCCTTGCTTATGTTAACATTATTTGAGATTATTAAGGAACCAAAATGAATGTAATTGAACTCAAATTACTACAAGCTGTGATTTGTTTCTACTGTATATATGAACTTATGTTTTTGATGGTTGTAGCCCAATGGTAAGAGAAGCCCTTCTATATTAAGTGGGAATCATTTACATTTATTCTCCAATTTATAAGATTAAGAACACAGTCATGTTATATACACACTAAACCTCTGAATGGAGGTATTTGTCACTGATGTCAAACACCTCTGTGGTCACCATGATGTAAGTGTTCAGGGAATAATTCAAAGTGAGATAGAAGTTTGCTCTAAGTTTTCAATAATTATGTCAGTTGCTTTTTAAGCATAAAGCAAGGATAGTTCATGAAAATCTAAGGTATTTTTATAACAGCAACATAGAGAAATCATGCATATTATGTGGCAGGCTTGAAGGAAGGACACCTCTTCTATCTGATGTAAGTATAGAAAACTCTTTCTGGAAAAGTCATATTAATATAATTAATGTCTACCCATGTTTGCTAAATTAGCCTCCATTTTGTAAACCATATAAATCACATTCTCCGATCATTTCATCAGAGACACAGGAAAGTTTTTAGAAGCTTGTAATGTGTATTTTAATCAAGGATCAAACAACAATTGTAAAAGGTTTTATTCCATCTGTGTAAAATTAATGTGTCTTGATTAATAAAAGTGAATGGTTTTTCAGTGTTACAATTCTTGAAAAGAATGAAGGGTTAATGCACCACCAGCATTAACCTCTTCCGCCTATTTAAGGTTGCAGGAAAGGTAACGTAATGATAAACTATTTGTAGCACGGGGGATGGCATCTGTAGAGATTAGTTCCTTACTGCCGTTAAACCTCTTATAACTTCGTATATTTCCCACCATTTCTATGCTGTATCTCCTCTCCCATTTTTATCTACTTGGACATCGTGGTGGTTCTAATAAGAAGGATCATACAGAGCACTGTTGGGAGCTCCCCTGAGCTGCTCCATGCTGTTGCTGCCTCAGCGTCTGTCTGGGGAGCAGGCAGCCTGCAGGTCCTTGAACTCACACCAGCCAGTCCTGTGAGCACCTGCACTAGATGACCCCTTCCTTGGGACCAGCAGTCTTGCTGAACCCCAGGGTCTAATCCACAGGCCCCCTTCAGTGATACCCTCTTAGCTCACCTGAATCCTGCTTGTCTTTGTTTGAATGGGTCCCTCCACATTCAGCCTGTGGAACCCACAGCACTTCACCCAGGGTCAGGTCTGAACCCCAAGGACTGGAATTTTTTCTGACTGGTTCTAGCCTTTACCTCCTCTGGGGCCCTGAAGGCTTGCTGTGAATTTTCTGAGGACCTAGAATCATAAACTCACCGTTTTCTCATGGCTTTGGCATACTTTGAATGCAATATAGAAATATCTGAAGATATATACATAATATGATTTATATAACACACATTGAATACAAGATACAAATATCTGAAGGTATACATGTTAGCAGTGAGAAAACCAAGAAGGAATATGTGAGTGTATGTGTATTCTTACACACTTAACTTAGGGAATTCAGAAATGCTTGATCAAAGTGGTCATTTCAGAAGTGCAGATAATTTACTAAAAACTGTAAAGCTTGCCAATTTGTTGATTAATCTGTTTTGTCTAGTTTTCATGGAATTCATTTCCTTAAATGTCAGGAGGTTATGTATTTTAAGGAACTTCCACACAGTCCACCGACGTGACTGCACCAGCTTACATTCCCTCCAGCCATGTAGGAGGTTCCCTGATCTCCAAGCCCCTTCAGCGTTTTTGATATTCTTAGTGGGCTTTTTGCTCATTGTTATTCTGACTGGTATGCGATGATATATCCCTGTAGATTAGTTCTGCGTTTCTTATTGTTTAGCACTGGTGAGCATCTTTCTTTTGCCTCCTGCCCATGGAAAAGAGCAAGCTATCCGCCCAGCCTTAGTAGCTGTGGGGCACAGGCTTAGTCTCCCCACAGCATGTGGAGTATTCCTGCGCCAGGGATGAAGCCCTTGTCCCCTGCAGTGTCAGATGGATTCTCCACCACCGGGTGACCAGTCTGTTTAGCTTTTTTTTCCTTTTGAGACATATATATATATATAGGAATATAATTGCTTTACAATGTTGTGTTAGTTTGTGCTGTATGACATCGTCAATCAGCCGTAAGTATAGATAAATCTTCTCCTTCCTTGCCCTCCCTCCCGTGGTCTCCATTTCACCCCTCTGCTCAGCACAGAGGACCAAGCTGAGCTCCCTGTGGTAAACAGCAGCTTCCCACCAGCTACCTATTTTAACCATCAGTTCAGTTCAGTTGCTTAGTCGTGTCTGACTCTTTGCGACCCCATGGAGTGCTGCTCACCAGGTCTCCCTGTCCGTCACCAGCAAGCTCCTGGAGCTTGCTCAAACTCATGTCCATTGAGTCAGTGATGCCATCCAACCACCTCATCCTCTGTCGTCCCCTTCTCCTCCCCCTTTCAATCTTTCCCAGCATCAAGGTCTCTTCACATGAGTCAGTTCTTCACATCAGATGGCCAAAGTATTGAAGTTTCAGCTTCAACATCAGTCCTTCCAATGAATATCAGGACTGATTTCTTTTAGGACGGACTGGTTGGATCTCTGCAGTATAAGGGACTCTCAGGAGTCTTCTCCAACGTTTTACCCATGGTGGTGTATATACGTCAATGGTACCCTTTCACTTGGTCCCCATCTTCTTCTCCTGCTGTGTCCACGTCTGATCTCGATATTTGTGCAAATATTGTCTTAACAGATATGTATGGAATTTAAAAAATATATTGATGAACTTATTTACTGAGCAGGAATATAGGCGCAGAGGTAGTTCTAACCTTTTGCATGTTAAGCTTTCAAAGTATAAAATACATTGTCAATCATTCCATGCATTTTACGGCTGTCGACATGTGTTTTGGGAAA